CCCCCCCCCCCTTCTCCCTGTAAAAATTTCCTGATTACGCCACTAGTATGACTATGAAAAATCCTGATGGATGTCAATTACTTTCGTCCAGATCGGGTGCCGGGTACCGTTATTCGGGTCTGGGTATAAGATGGTTGGATCGGCTCGGGGCCTGGCATTAATAAAAAGTGCCCCTCCGAGTCCGAGTGCGAAAATTCGCACCCGTGCAGGACACTAATGTCGACCAGAGTCAAATTACTTTCTTTGTAGTTATAATATCTGTAATACGATTTCATTAGTAATAACCCTAATTTGTACATGAAGAAAATAAGATACTTCTTCAAAACAGCGACAACACAGGCACCACATTTTTTGATGCCCTCATTCTTACTCTTTGATGTGCACTATCAATTAGATAAATTAGTATATAGAATTCTCTCGATTTGAAAACGAATTATGACAGTTGAAGAGCTTTATGATATGAAAAACATTCTAAATATGTTACTATATCTATCATATTTCATATCAACTGACTCAGAAAATCTTCGTCAAATATGAAGAGTAACATATATATGAAAAAAGAGAAACAATGCCATCCATTCATTCAATCATTGGTCGTCCATTTACGCCATTAGACCATAGAAAAAAAACACATCATTGTTTTCATTGACGATATCGATCAAATAGAATGAGCTGATATATATAATTATTGACACTTATAAGCTATAAAAAATAGATATATTTACATATAAGCATGGAACATTCATGTGTTCAATTAAACGATTTACCTGATGAAGTTCTTTTGATTATTTTCAAAAAATTAAATAATGTCAAAGTACTCTATTCCTTAATGGGTATCAATAAACGATTAGATAAAATTTTACATGATTCTATTTTTACTACTAATTTAACATTATTGAAATATTTATCATATGATTCTATTTATTCATTATCTAATTCAATGCTTGATCGATATTGTATGGAAATCTTACCTAAAATTAATAATAAAATCAAATGCCTTGATCTTGAATCATCATCTATGGAACATATTCTTCTTTCTGCAAATTATCCTAATTTATTTGGACTTGGTATATATAATATTGAAAAGGAAACTACATTGCGTCTTTTTACAGGTAAGATATTTTTATTTGAAATTCCTTCAATTAATATATTTAAATGAAAATTAAGATGATTTCAATACATCTTTTATACCAAAATGGATATTAAAGAAATTAATATACAGAAATGAAGAGAGAGAAAATTTTTGTTTGCATACGAAATATGATTTTGAAAAAGAAATTTTAAGTACTTAGTAAGAAAAATGACCAAAAGAATTGATATTGTTATTTGATCAATATTGAAAATATTTAGTTATTTTTACAATAATTTTTCTATTTATGTTCAGATCAAAACTCTTTAATTCATATATTTAAAAATCAGATTTTATCACTTGTAATTGGAACCAAAAATGAACAACGTTTAACATATGATGTGAATACACTAATATTTACAAATATATTTACTATATTCAACAATTTAAAATATTTAAATTTTGATCCATCTTTGACTTGTTATCAAGGAATATATTTCGAAAACTCATTTCCAACTATTCTCTCTTCAACATTGCTAGAATTGCATATCAAAGTAAGGACTATTGACGATTGTCTTTATTTACTTGATGGTCGTTTCAATCAACTTCGTTCCTTCTATGTTCATATAATAGTATCATCCATAGGTTCAATGTTAAAATTAAATAAAGTATGTTTTTATAAATTCCTAATTTTATTAAAACCAATTATAAAACCTTGTTTTAGGAAAAATTACCAAATCTAAAAAATTTTTCGTTGTCCTGTGATTCAAAAATATTTTTCTATGATGTAATAGTTATACCACTTTTGCATCGCATGTCGAATTTAGAACAACTCAATTTATATTTTAATTGTTCTCGTAAAAAAACATTTGTTGATGGAAATGATTTGAAAACAAATATTTTAAATCGTTTACCACAATTAAAGTCATTTGAATTTAATATTCGCTCATCAATTGATTCTATTAATCAAATTGATTTACCAACAAATGAATATATTCAACATACATTCAGAGAATTTAAACATAAAAAAATTATTTCTTATGTTGATTATTTTCAAGATTCAAACAGTGGTGAATGTTATGTCTGTTCATATCCATTTACGATGACGTGTTATGAACGTATTACAAATAATTTTTCAGGTGAATTATTTAAATCTGTTTCTGAAGTATCATTATTTGATGAAAGTTCTTTTGAACATGAATTTTTTCTTCAAATTGCTCAATCTTTTCCATTTATGAGAAAACTAACTGTAATTAATATGAAACCACAAAATGATAAACAATGTAGAAAATTAAAAAATAACAACAACAACAATTTATTAGTTATTGAATATTCTCATCTTACTTATCTTAATCTTGATCAAGCTCATGATGATTATGTGGAACAATTTCTACTTGATACCAAAATGTCTTTACCAATTAATGTTGAACTTCATACCATGTATAAATCTTTAAAAACAGTAACACACAACTTTAAAAGAAATGCAACACAAATTAATTGTTCAAAAGTGAATTATATATGTACAGATCGTATTTCTCGATTTCCAAAACATATGAAAGACTATTTTCATCGTGTATATATGACTAGATTTTCATGATTCTCAATTAGTATTTGAATAAAGTTGATTTTGTCTAGAATGAATATTAATATGGAGAAGAAAATGAGTTTATATTTGATTGAAAAGAATTAAAATCTGTGTATTCTTCATACTAAAAAAACATCAGACATCAATTACAGTACAATATATGAAGTCACATTTTTTTGTTTTGTTTGAAAGAGCGTGAAAAACTGCAGTGCTTATGACAGCCCATTTTTTGAATTAAGCTTTGTTATTAGTATATTGAACAGTACTTTTATAACAACAGCGCCATTTTCTGAGAGTTTTTCGAGTGATTGAACTTGTCATCCTTTTCTTCGCTTGAAATATAAGAATTAAGAAAAAGGAGTTACCATAGGCATTATTTCCTGACTAGAGTTCGTCGGGTCCGAGTTTGAATTCAAAAATTCTCTGTTCATCGGATCTGGATCCGAAGATTTTGAATCCTACAGGCTGTATTTAGGAGTAAAAGTCGATTATAACTCGATTATTGCCAAAATTACCTGAGAAACGTATAGAGTATGCTAGTCACTGATATAAATAAGCGAAAAAACAAATGTCATGTTGTCGGAGCGACTATCAGGTTCAGATACATTATAAGGAACGGGAAAGCCTGATATCCCTGCCTCTAATGATGTTCCGAACGTTGCTTTTTGTGGCAACTCTTGGGAATTTCAAAAATAATTCGTTACCATTTCCACAATGAAGTACAAACATGAGTTCAAAGAAATTTTGTCCTTTGAAGGACTATAAGGTAATATTTCGAATACCTCGTTTATTCTATGGACTCATCACTCTTCTCTTAAATACATTCTCATGTTGATTATTCTACAATGAACAAGTAAATCAATATAACAAGCATAATCATCTTTAACATTCTATCATATTTCTCTATTGAATTTTTCCCATGAATATTCCAGAAGAATTTTAAAATATGGTTTAGTTTTTGAGCTTGTTCCTCGTTAATTAAAATATTTCTTCTCTGATTTAAAATATTTGAATAAATTTGTTGTTGATCGTTTGAAAAATGTTCATAAAAAAGATTTAATTGAATAATCATTTAGAAAATGAAATGAATCAAATCTGAAGAAAGAAAGAAAGAGGTATGAAATATTCTTAACGAAAATAAAAAAAATTGAATTTAGTAGATTGAAAGGATAAGAAATAAATATAGTTTTCTTTTTCTTCTACAATTTATTCGTTTTGAACAAGATCAACTATTTCTTTTAGATATTTGAACTTTTTCATTTTCAATTATTTCGAATGGCTACAAAGATATTATTTAATGAAAATAAAAAGAAAAAAATTCTTTTAATTACTTTTAAGATTTGATCAGCTTCGATTAATCCATCTTTATCATGATCAAATTGATTAATTTAATCTCAAATATTGATCTTTATTCGAAGCTTTTTGCATTTCTCGAATAGAATTTCTCTAAAATAAAGTTATTCACAGAATAGAAGTTCAATAGACTGTTATGAATAGCAAGTGTTTACGTATACTTTGATCAGCATACAAGTGTCGAACTGTTCAATATAAGAATGTTCAGTTTTAGTTTTCTGCCATCAGTATTCCGTGGAATACAAACACACCAATTACATGAAAATGTTTACCGTTTGTATTTTGATAGTTTAACACAATCGGTTGATCAGTGTCACTGAAATGTGAGTACTTCCGTGAAGATCGATGTCACCGTTATCACAGTTTCAGTAGACAGTGACATCGAAGTCATCGATGGTCACTCTACGTCAGTGTCAACATTTCAGTATTATCATCAACGCTGCACATTCTTAGTTCGACAAGTCATATATCGAAATTTTCAGGATGCATAGAATAGTTTCTGTGGGATGAAAGACTTCCTGTCAATCCTTTTGCGATGTCATTCTTGAGGATATAGACCAAGAAATGATTTCTTGAAATTATTTGTCATATGTTCCATGCTCCTCTGTCCTCAATGATCGTCGGATAAAACTCTTATTAGACATATACTCAGATAATCTGCTCAACAACTTTATTACAGAAGTTTGTAGACAATTCAGAAATCTAAAGTAAGTCTCTAGTTGTAGAAAGAGATGAATAGTTCGTGTCTTATGAGTGTTGTCTCAATCGATATTGTTTTATCTCACACTAATTTTTTTTTTGTTCAGTCCAAGAAATATTTTCATAATTCCGACCGACCATCGTTTACCTCTGTCTGGTGCTCCATTTTTCATCGGGGTGACTGCTCATATTTGTGTTAAGTTAATAAAAAGTGAAATAATTTCATTTGTTCGCATCACAAAAATTCATAAGGAGAAGAAATCTATTTGAAATACATGATTGCATGGCTAATAATTATTATCCAATTGTCCGACAAGTATCTCTAAGTAGCACTATAAGCAAATGGTGAGAAGCCAGGTCCATCGATTCGATAGAATTTTGTCAGATCTGACAATCGAATTGAATCATCTGGAAAGTAACGAGCTAATCTATTCATTTTTTGTGATTAGATCGGATGCAGTGAGCGTCTATTTTGCAAGAGGATTTAAAGAAAGAAAAATGTTTTTTTCTCTAAGAAAATCTTTATGTTCTTGAATTTGTTCCGTTTTTGCTCGAATATCTTCTTTTCATTTGTCTTCTTTTGTCTAAATATAATCTTGAGAAATAATTTCCTGACGAAAAGAATTTTAATATCTTTTTCAGTTGTATCTTGTGTGTTTGAACAACTTGATCAAGATCAGTAACAAGTTTATCAAAAGATATTGAAAATGCTTTAGCTGAACATGTTTCACTTAAATGTTTAAGTTGTTTTGTTGCCGCCAATGTTTCGAATTGTTTAAAATCTTCTTTATATTGTTTAAGATGATTCTAAAAGAAATTGTTTATATTTTTCAAAAAATTCAAATTCAAATCAATTCTCTTATGTTCTTTAATTTGTTTAACAGTAGTATGAACTTCTTTTGCTTTTTGATTGACAAGTTGTTCAAGTGCTCTTTAAAATAGTCCAACATCAATAGTTTGTTCATCGTTTTTTAATATAAGTAAGAACAGGTACTTTATCAACAAGAATTTCTATTTTAAGAACATCTAATGATGTGATTGGTGTCACAACTTGTTCAGATAAAATTTTATCTTTTTCTTGTCGAATTGGTTCATCTTTACGTTGAATAACTTCAATACGCTGAGTATTATCAACACATTGACCATTAATTTGATCAATTTTAATCGGTGTTACATTATCAATTGGTTTTGGTAAAGATTGAATAGCTGCTTTGAGAAGATCTTCTTGTGGAAGATTTTCTGGTAAGTAAAATGAACGTGATAAAAGTCAAATTGTTGAAGGGAATACGTGAATTAAAATGAAGATCAGGTGAAAATTTCATTATTTCTTCTGTTGATGGTTGACCATCTGTGCACATACTTCTATCATTTAGACTAGACCACTACATAGAGGCAGATCCTGAAAGATGTCACGTCGCTGACACTCTTCCTTTTTTAATTTACAATCTATTTCGGACGAGTTTGGACCGATGCTAAACATTGCAAACGATTTCAGACTAGTCATCTAGGAGTCCGTTTTGAGAAAAAGACTATACCGGACGTGCCGTCTGGACTAGATAAAAGACTAGTCTTTTTACCTGTCTTTTGCTCGCCTGGGTTGACAAATAGTTGAATAACACTCATTTAATTCGTGTTAATCAAAACATGTTGTAATCGACCATAAATTTGATTTTTTTTTGTCAAATTTGAATACTATTTCGGTCAAAAATGAGATAACATGTTTGAAAAATAAATTCATAGATTTGTTTTTTGTTAAATCGAATGTTTGTGCTATAACACAGATTTTTGATGATAAAGAAATCAGTACATATACTTATGGAATGTTTATTTATATAAAATAGATTCAAATCATCTTCTATGAAATTGAATAAATTCATTGTTAATGTATTCGATCAAAGACAGATTTCTAAGTGAATTTTTTCTTTTAAAACATCTTGTTCGCGTTCATTTCTACTCGAAAGACGTGTTGGTTCATAATCAATTCATTTAAACATTCTTTATCAGATAATTCATTAAATATGAATTGCTCTGGACAAATTTGTTTGTTTTGCTAATAATGAAATGCTTTTCAAATGATTTTACATTTGGATCACTTGACAAATGAAGAGCAACAACATATCTACGAGTTTTTTCTAGTCATTTGAATATTTTCATGGGTTGTTCTAATGTTTATGTTCTTGAAATACTTAAACAAAACTTTTCTTCATATTCTTGATTATTTCAAGAATAGCTTCAATATAACTTGATCATGGAATCTTTCCATTATCAAATGAACGTCGATGTGTTAGAAATTGAACATACATAAGATTATTATTAATCTTTATATGCAAATGCATTTACTAAACGATTGGTTTAGTTGTAAAATCTGTCAGTAGATGTCATTCAAATTCATTGATTTTTTATTTACATCTATTAGCAGAGGCAAGTATAGTACAACTTTATCTATCCTTTTATGTGTTGCGGTAGAAGATATCATGCAAAATAGAACAACTTCTGATTTTCATATTTCACTTTGTTTACAAGTAATATGAATATTTTTTCTTAAATATAATAATTCATTTCAGAAACAATATAAAGATCTAGTCACAATGTTCAGCATAGACATGAATTCACTTTTATGATAGAATTAGTTTCTGTTGCTTACAGAACCCAGTGATATCAAATAAATTGATTGAATTATACCAAATGAGAATCCAAAGTTTTTTTTTCAATTTATTAATAGATCTAAATAGTTTTAGTTTAAATCTATTGTCTTTCATAGTCAAATATTAATCGAAGTATATTAATCTTCTAATCATCACTATCATTTTCCAACTTTCGTCTGTTATTGTTTTCAATGTGGAAAATGTCTGCTACACTTCATTTGATTATCTGTAAACTAGATAAGATAACTGAATGAGTTGATACATTCTGTTCTATTCTGTATCTTATCTTTGCTTATCTTGCTCGTTAATCTGAACAGGACTGTTTTTATCTTGTACTCAATTCAGTATGACATATGTTTGTATGTAATGTATTTTTCACTCAGTACAGCAATACTCACTGTCCATGAACTGGAAAATCAAGGAAATGCTTTAATATTTCATATAAACGTATAACTCAGCGTAAATATATATCAAACAATCTCAACATTGAAGGTAAAGATGTTCTTAACTGATTGATGTCAGACTAGTGATGAGAATTAAAGAATTCGAGTAAATGTGGTATTTCAATAGAATGACAATGTTTTATTCAGATTTTCTCTTTCGGAGGAACGATTTAAAACTTCTGGAAGGTAAAGTTCTACATTTAGCAGCACAAATACATAATATGTGGTACAATAACTATAAACTCCAGGAAGATCTTCTGAGGCACATTGTCATCTCGACTCTCATGCTGGATAAAACACTGCAGGGTATTCAAAAAAAGTCTAGAAAAAGAGGAACACGAATAGAGTTGTCAAATTTGTTCGAATTCTTTAAATTTCAATACAAGCTGAATGTTATGGAAGAAGGTGTTTTCATTTCACATAATGAAGTGAAATAGCTAGATTTATTCGAAATTCTTCACGTAAATAATCTTAATTTGCAATGAATTATTTTATTATGTGGAAATCTCAGTTTTTTCCGATCAGATTATTTTTTATTAAGAAAAAGATTGTCAAATGAAAAAAAAAGAAAGTTCAGCACTTCTCTACTTTTAACAATTGATATATATATCTTTTCAGCTCTCAAAAAATTTCCTTGTACTCCTTCTCATCTCCACTTTATTCTCTTCACTGTATCCCTATCTTTGACCTATCTTTTATATGATATCTTACTACTATCAAAAACTTGATAATGAAGAAAATAAATAAAACAAAAGACATCATGTCAAATACTATCACAATATATTAATAGAAATGAACAATAATAATAATAATAATAATAATATTTTTTACACATATCAAATCACTGATGCATATCAAATAATTTCATAGCCCAATAAAATTCTAATGGAAGTCAATGACAGTCGAAGAAAATTGAAAAATCAATATTGAAATAACTTACAAGAAAAATAAAAATAAACTTTATTCTATTAAAAAAAAAAAAAAACTAGAAAAATTGAAGTTATTTTTCAACCATCATAAATATCCGAGTGTCCCCTACGAATATATTGTTTTCGATCTATGATATAAAAAAGGTGATAAAAAATGAAAACAATAATCTTTTTGTTTTTTAATAACACTAACTTAATTGTTTATAAGCCGCTTGGATAGGTGCATAATCATAAACAGCAGGTTTTTGAAACGTTCGATTATTTATCGTCGGTTCTGAATAACTAATAACAAAAAAAAAACAATAGACTTATAAAAAAGAAAAAGAGAAAAATTTTCCAACATACTTATTAACATCGGATTGTTTTGTATAATGATGATCACGTGTATTGACTCTTTTTGCAAATGGATCAAATTGTGTTGATGAATTATATCCACGAGTTGTTCCACGAGAATTTCTTATATTATTTCGATTATTTCCACCAGCTCTATTATATGATGGTGATGTTCGATTAGTAGTTTCACTGTCTGAATCATCACTTGAAGCTAGAAAGAAAGTTTTTCTTTCATCTTATTTCATTAGATAAATTAATATTTACTACTGCCCATTTCAAAATATAAGGCACGTGGGTATTTTTTGAATAAGTTTTGATAGGAACCAGATACAGAGCTGTGGTTTTCACCGTTGCAAAGAGGCTGATTTAGCGCATCAACTCATATAAAATTGTTAAGGCTTATCTCAAAAATAGGTAGTGATCTATTATCATCTTGAAAGAGTAGACTATTGCTCTTTGAAGGTAGAACAAATCTTAAACTTTGAGGAGTGCGTTATAAATCGTTAGCTCAAGAGCTGCAAAACTATATATAATGCTTGATTCAAAACTTTACTGGTTTGTGAGTTCTAGGTACTATATTCGACAATTATAGTCCATTTTGCCAGCGTTTTCTGTAAAAAAACTCAGTTTTTTTCGTTTTGCCTGGAAAAATCAGGCCGGTTTCTAAGGCATTTTTTTTGTTCAACTATTGCAAAAGGTTTCAAAAATCCAAGTTCAAAATCATTGTTTTATACGATTCGATGCGTTTTCATCTGCTCTTTCCAACGGTAAAAACCACAGCTCTCTATCTTGTTCCTATCAAAAATCATTCAAAAAATATCCACGTGCTTTTTATTTTGAAATGGGCGGTAGATTCGTATATTTGTTTACTTTCTTCAAATGCGTTCATCTATTACAATGATCTGAGTCAACAAAACATGATTTACGTTGAATTCTTTTCTCCTATCTCAATGTCACTAATTGATGACCAAAATTCATGGTAAAGAGGAGACAAATCTATTCACTTTTTGACCAAAAAGGAAAAACAAATTCAATAAACGTTGGGGAACAAATCTTCATTAGCTCAATTAGTAGCAGATATGCCTGTCAGAGATGGAATTGGTCTATTCGTAATGCATGATATATCGATAATTTACAGCACTAAAGAAAGAGTGATTTAGATATGGAAAATGCAGTTTTTCGCATGACAAACTTCATATGCCAAGTTGTATCACATACTTGATATAGAGATTGGAACCAGTCTAAATCTTCGACGACTGGTACTGGAACTAGTCTGAAAATGTTGTCAGACAGGTCAGTTGATCCGAAATTCGTACCGGGATAACCGGTACCGGTTCGATCTCTGATGCCTGTTATTGAATCTCAAGGAAGATGCAGATATTATAGTACGAGAACTTCTCCAGTGTTTATTAGTATAAAATGAAATTTTTGGAATATATCTCTTTGTGTAGAAAAAAAAAATAAACAAAGATAAAAATTGGTTTTTGTTATATGATGAAAAACTTCTACAAGTTTTGCAAGTAATACATTTTAGCAATTAAAATTTCCATTCAAGTGTAACAAAATTCAATAAAAAGTATATAAAGAAAATGTCACGAGAACACATGCGAATTATTTATGTCATATGTTCATGTCTGAAATAAACTAATTTAGCAGTCTACTTGAATTGAATCCAGTAGAAATAATTTGAGACTGAAAAGATTCATTTACAAAAGATTATAAAGTCAATTTTGCAGGATCTTATGCAATGTACACATTGATAATTTCCACAAAAAAAAGACCCGACACATAGTTTATTCAAGCATTGTAATTAAAAGATTATTTCAAAAATCTTCTTTTGTCGCTGGACTTGTTGTTATTAATATGGAACATTCTGCAAAGAAAAAAAGTACACGTAGTTGATCTTTTAAAAAACTTGTTTTTAAAAATTGCTATGAATTCATAATAATAAATGATTAATTTTCATATTTAAATTCGTAAATAATTTTGAAACACTTTATGGTCTCGTTCGAAATATTTAATATAATATCTATTATGTTGTTTTAGTCTATTAATAAATTTGACTATTATATAAAACAGATTGCACAAAAATTAATATTCTTCGAAATACAACAATGTAAACACCATTGCCATTGATCATTTATATAACCGATTCGATAGAGAAATCGTTTAAGAAATTATAATTTGATAAAATCTAAGAAATATATAACATTATAATAAATATTGTGAAATAAATTAAGTAAATTAAAATAAAAAGAGATTTATCTAACACGAAACATTGACATCATAGTAAATTGGTTGTTGGAATGAATATTAATATTTTTGTTTCCATTGCTTTATCCATGTTATTAATAAGAAATCGAAATCATCATTCAAATGATAGCCTATAGAAAGTAAATGATTTAATAAAATCACATAATAGTAAAAAACGAATATTCTACTGACATTAAAATAATAAAATATTAATTAATATTTTTTTTTTTTTTTTTTTCGTAAATGTTTTGATCATGAAATGCAATTATGTTACTTTTGTCATTATAAATTAATTTTTATTAATTAATAATTATCACTAAAGTATTATTAAGTAAACATTAAATAAGATGAAACAACGCAAATAGATTAATACATTATTGCTGCTTGGGTTTGACTTTTTTTTTTGCAATAGTTGCTGAACATTATTTAAATGAGAATAAATCGTTTTATATGTACATATTTTATTTCTTTGTTATGCTTCATTAAACACGATAAGATTTGAGCTTTCATCTTTTTTTTTCTTTCTCTACCTATTAGTTTATTTTTATGGACATATCATACGAACAAATCATGAATAAGTTTTTTATATCAATTGATATAAAACAGAAACGAAACAAGTTAAGAGATATTAACAATTTTTATAATAACTTCTATTTGAAATATTTTATTTAGTTTAATAAAGAAAAAAATGATGGTGTGGATGTCATCATTCTTAAACACTCTTCAAATCAATGTACGATCACTTCAATAAATTATGAACAATTTTCTCTATCTAATAAATCATATATTCCTACATTAAAGACATCTATAATATTTTACTTTTTTTTTTGTAGAGGTATTCTCATTAATTTTGATTCGTTATTAACAATAAACGAATGACCTTAATGAATTTGTCTCCTCTTCCGATCGAATGAAGCAAGTACAGAACAGAGCAAATGAGTTCAATTTTTATTTGATATAACATCTATGTATATTGTTACGTCTTTTATTAAACGATCGTTTTTTGTTCATTTTTTTCTTTTTTTCTTTTTTTTTATATATAATTGTAGCATGTATATATTATTCTCAAATATTAAAAGACATTGATATGAAGATTTTTTGATTTTTATTGTTAATATCAATTTGATCTTTTTTTTGTTCCTCTCATTTAATTAATAAAATATTCAATGCAAAGTGATTCATTATCACTCGATACACTTAGAAATAAATTATTGTGTGCTGTCGATGCTGAATACAATGTAAAATTATTTTTTGTTTCTTTTTTTTTTTTTTTTTTTTTTGAAATAAAATCAAACATATCCTTTAGGTTATTAAAGCTGAAACTGTATTGGATATTATTTGTCAATTAGAAAAAATGGAAATTACAAAAGATCAATTACAAGTTTGTAGTTGTTTTTTTTTCTTATCTGTATTTACTCTTCAATTTTAGACAACTCGTCTTGGTCGTGAAATAAATACAATACGTCAAAAATTAGATACACAAAATGAAAAACATTCAAAATTAATTAATGAAATAGCTCAAAGAGCAAAAAAACTTCTTCGATCATGGCAAGGTTTATTAAATATTTCTCAAACAAATTTATCATCAACAAATGTTGATATAAAACCTCGACTTATACTTAAAGTTAAATTAAATTCTCCAATAACAAAACGTAAATATGATTTTGATTCACATATAATACATAGTACTAATATTAAACGAAAAAAAACTCAAGTTATACAAACACCTGTACCAATATCAACACCAATTATATTAAGTGAAACAAATGTTAGTTTACCACGTTTAAAAACTACACAACAACTTTTAATTGAAATGCAAAAAAATGAACCAAATGTACTTTCAACACAAACATCAACTGTTCATGCTATATTACAAAAGAAAATTATTGATGAAAGTCTTCATGAACAAGTTAAACTTGATTATTCAGCTTTACATCATGGAAGAGATTTGAATAATATTAATACAAAGTTAGTTACTTTTTTTTGAATATTTGAATTATTAATATGAAATATGTAGAGCTTAGAATAATAAATTCTCATATAGAAATCAACATATCTATAATGTTCGATTTCATATTATGGTTATAAGTAGGTTTGAATGCGACTAAAAAAAAAAAGGTTAAAAGAATTCGAACCTATGATCTAATAACGAAGAATTATGACCAATTTTTACTGACACCAAATAATTTTCGAAAAATCCACAAAAAAAAAAAATTTTGTCTATAGACACGTCTGATAGTTCCAACGAAAAGAAACATGTCTTTCGCGAGATATTCAGTTTCTTTAAAAGTAACAATTTACCATAATAGAACACAGTATTTGGATACTGAGACCGTCATGGCCTAGTGGCTGTTAAAACCCGTCGAACCGTACTTTGATAATCTCAATGAAATTTTCTAATTGGAATTGAACAGTAGCCTAGAAGATACGAGATACTTTTTTTCTATGTTTTTTTTTGTATCCGGTGACTAGCGCATCCTATATATTTCTCAGCTCGTATTATCCGATCCAAAATAAAAGACAGATTACCATTTTACGAATAACTTTTGATAGAGAACTGCAGTTTTCACCATTCGAAAGAGCTTTAAAAAAAAACAAATGTTAATTTTATAGCGAAAAAAGAATGTTTTGAGATTATTGTAAAAATATTCAAAGGTATCTATAAACCAGTATCTTTCATTTTAATGAGCTCTATACCGATTGATGGTCCGGACATGGCTCTTTTGAATGGTGAAAATCGCAGCTCTCGATCAAAAACTATTCGAAAAATGGTAACCTGCCTTTTATTTTCAGTCGGATAATACAAGGCAGTGTGTTCAATCCTCAGTACCATTAACTATAGAATGATCCTGAAGAAGTCATCAACGACTGTTTGTCTCGAATTATCCGTTCGATAGGATACTGACTACATTGTGACATATACTTATTCTTATGGCTAGTTAGTATTCGTTGTAGGAAAGTTATTGGGCTACGGAATCTGTTACTAAGCAGCACTTCATACTGTAAGGTAGTCGAAATGAAAGAATATTCTTCTACTCGATAGGTAAAATTTTGGTTCAAAACTTTTTCTTTTGGATTATTTGGAAATACCTACTTAAACAACATCCGACAATTAGATCTGTTTCTCTGTTAATTGATTACAATAATAGAACTTTTTATGATGAAATTTTCTTTTAATTGTTATAGTTCTACTCATTATCAAAGAAAACTTTCATCTTCAATTACATCTCCATGCAATACATTTGTAACATCCGGTTCATCATCAAAACTTCAATCACTTATTGAACGATCATCATCATCATCAACATTAATATCTTCGAATAGTAATTGGGAAAATGGTAGTAGTGCTGGTTCACCTATATCACCATTATCATCTTCATCATCATCATCATCATCTATAATTTGTACAACTTCTTGGCCTCTTTCTACAATCATTCCTGAACCATCATTAAATGTTCCTGTTATTACAAAAAAGAAACGTCGTAAAAAACATAATGAACAATTATTAGAATCATCAAATATTGAACAGTCAAAAATATTTTCATCTGATCTAGAAACTCTTTGTTCATCATATAATTCAGTTGCTGATCTTGTTGAAGATCATCGTCGACGTATATTAGCTAAATATGAATCTCGAGAATTAGAAGCAAGACCTGATTTATTATTAGTACCAATTGATCAACTTGCTTTTGTTTATGAACGAGAAAGGACTAAAGAATTAAATTTACCAAATGAATCAAAACATTCATCAATGACTACAGTAGAAAAACTTACTCAACCATTTGATCTTATTGCTTTACCATTTATTGATTGTCCACTTGAATATGATCTGATACTTGATGAACTAGTCGTACAACATCCGACAATGGACATGTAAATTCTTTTTTTTTTCTTCTTTATTTGTTTTCAAAATTTAAATGAAAAACAAAAAAAAAAAGGAAATTGGTGTTTCAACAGTTTGTTTTTTGTTTTCTTTTTCTCCTCTTCGTGTACGTGTGTGTATGCATGCTTGTTTACTTATTTATTTTTAAGAAAAACAACAAAGAGGATAATTTCTTGGTAAATATATACATATGAAATGATTAATTTATATTTTATTCGTATTAATAGGAATATACTAAAGGAGAAGGATGAAACATGATTGTATCTCTTAATTGATAATAGATAAATTCAAAAATGGAAATAAACGGTAGGTTTCCATAAACTAGGAAAGAAGAATATCCTACCTTGCGGTATATGATGTTACCCGAAAATAGATTCATTATTTCGATATCTTTCTTACAGCTATGACTAAGTGTAGCTCTGAACAGAAGATCGGATGTATTCAGTGCTTTATACACAATGTTTTATGGATGCGTTCCGAACAATATAGACACGCAATAATAACGGCAATCATAAGTTAAAGTCATATAAATCATATCGACTTAGATCTGACCAAAAGTTCTGAGATCTTTAAATAAAAATATAAAGATTAGGAGATATTATTAATTTTATTTTATCAAATGTTGAGTATAGTTGCCATGATTATTTATATCTAGTTCAATTCTTTCAACACAATTTATTAAAAGTTTTTTTGAACTACTTTTCGAAAAAAATATTGGATATCGCATAAGCTAATCGTGTTTCATTTGTTTTCAAATTTTAGCGAAGTTTTGTTAGATGTTGTCACTTGCGTTCTAATAGTACTAGTGACGAAGTATAGATTTATTTTATATAGGTTAATCATAAGTCAACTGATTCTAGCTGGCTTATTGAGGATGAATCGTGAAAGACTATTGTTCATGAAGATAGATTTGAACACAAATTTTGTTAGATATATGCTTTAAATCAAATAGCCCTGAGTGTAGATAAAAGCATGACAGTAGGTTACAAGTATTATATTGAAAATTATTTGAAGCCTTTTGTAAATGTAATATGAAAATAAAAAGAGGTATAAAGTGCAAAATGTACAAAACTGCTTGAGGATCATCATTGACTTCATACTCATCCGGTGTTATTAATTATTTGACAGAAGAGGGCATTAATATAATGCCGCAGTAGTCATATTTGCCGTATCTAATACGACTTAATCGTTGATTAAGTAACTCTATCGAAGGGAGTTCAAGTAATTAAATAAATGCGGTATCCTAAGTAGCTAAAATTTTGTTCGAAAAACAGTTCAAAAAAACTTTTAATAAATTGTGTCGAAAGAATTGAACTTGATATAAATAATCATGGCAACTATCCTCAACATTTGATAGAATAAAATTAAAAATATCTTCTTATCTTTATATTTTTATTTAAAGATCTTAGAACTTTTGGTCAGACCTAAGTAGTATTAAAATACCTTTACCACAGAAGATATTGTATACTCGAATGTTTCCCTCATAGTTCTGGGAAGATATGGAGGTAACTGAAGTAAAACTTTCAATGCTAGAATATACATAAAAATTTTACCACTATGTTTCTGAGAAGGTATGAAGGTGTGGTGTGGGTATAGGATGTTGATGCGGGGTATAGATTAATGAACAAATGACACATACTCCACACGCAACACATTCACACAACCATAGCTGCAGGCACACCCACATCCAAAAAGAGAAACACCTAAGGAAGCATGGTTTTCATTACAAGTTGTATAGTTATACATCTTTGTATAATAATTTCCTTTAGATATTAATCAGAATACCTGCTTGCCTTCTATTATAGAGTTGCATATTCTGTTGTAACTGGTGTGGGTGTTGTTCCTTGTTTCGGTCTCACCCATACTAATCCACACCCCGTAGGCACAGCCACACTCATACCCACACTTGCCATTCTTGCACTCCTATTCAATAATCCAAGAATCAATTCATTAAGTTTTTACAACTGAAAAAATGCACCGAAAACTAACATACTGACTTGTTCTTTAACATGTATGACGTCGAAAGTAAACGACTCATATATTTCTCTACATTTCAGCATATTATTGCTCTGCATTTCATCAGTCCACGCTTTATTTTTAATAGGAAGTAACATCGGCTAATGAAATACCGAAACTTGCACAAAATTTTGTAACAGGGTATACACTACGGCCACCTATAAAAACGTTTGTTCTACACACAAATACATTCATTTTCTTATTTATTTTATCTCAATCAAAAATGAGTAGGCGCCAATATTCGAAAGTGCCTTCTGCACTCCACGTTGACAAACCTGAGCAACCAGAATTGGCTGAGCACGATTCATCTATTCTCGGTAAGATTTGAAAAATCTATGATTTTAAAATCGAAAAGATTTATCTTTCGAGTATAGATCTTGCGTTTGCGATGGATTGTACTGGATCAATGGCTACGTACATCGAAAGTGCTAAAAATAACATTCGTGCAATTGTCGAAGAAATTGTGAGAAGCGAAAAGAGTGACATCCGTTTAGCACTTGTCGAATATCGAGATCATCCTCCTCAAGTGAGTGTGTAAGAAGAGTTACATTGAATTTGATGTTGTTATATAGGATACAACATTTGTCACCCGTGTACATAATTTCACAAACAGTGTTAACGAGATGAAAAGTTGGCTTGACGAATGTCGAGCAGAGGGTGGTGGTGATGCACCGGAGGCAGTAGCTGATGCACTTCATGATGTTCTTAATCTATCATGGCGTCAAGAAGCGACTAGAATTTGTATTCTTATTTCTGACGCACCACCACATGGTCTCGATCCAAATGGGGACAATTTCCCGAAAGGATGTCCAGCTGGTTATGATCCATTAAGACTCGCACGAGACATGGCCGAGCATCGTATTACATTGTATGCAATCGGTGTTGAACCGCCCATAGGTTAGTCCTTTCAAAACTTATTCGTCGTGTCTGATTAGTTTTCTCTCTTTCTTTTTAGTTCGTTATCGTGATTTTTTCATGACAATTGCCTACATAACTGGTGGACAATATGTTCCAATGATTAATGCACAGTTATTAGCTCAAGTAATTATTGGTGGAGTACGTGAAGAAATAACATTAGAACGTCTTATGCAAAATGCCGAGGTAGATATTGCTCGTGAAATACAACGAGCAGAAGAAGATGGAGTCGATGATCGAGAGACAGCGACACGAATTAATCGTTATTTTGCTTCGAGAAAAACACGTACTAAGCAGATGCGCAACAAAGCTGGTACTACATCGAAAACAGCCGAAGAATGTTATGCGAAATGTGCTGATATGTCTGAAATGGCATCCAAATTTGAAACAGTAGAAGTGAAAGAAGAGGAGAATAAAGAAGAAATGAACTATGAATTAGATGAAGAGGACATGAGTTTTGAACAAGCAAAACGGATTGTACAAAAGGCAAAAGGACGAAAGTAGATGGAATTAGTATTGTAATATCGTTTTTTAGTTGTTAAATAGAATAAACCAAGATTGAATAAAAAACGCTAAGTTACATTTTGATAATGATAAATGCTGTAAAGCAATGAATATGGATACTGGGGGTGAGTGCCATTTGACATTTAATCCTCACCTACCCTCAAGATTAGACTCATTGTTCATAAAGTCGTCTTTTGTTCATAATGTATGTTCTCTCACTATCAGTCACGTTATTGTCAAGATACAATTGTCGGGTTGGATCGAAGGCAAATGTAGCGCTATCCAATGAAAATATAATTTAAAAAAAATTTTTTCTTATTTTTCTGTTACCCTTGTCAGATTCAGAAATTCATTTTAGCTTTACTTTGTCTGCATATATTGAGATGTAAAAATTGAGACGAAACTGCACAAATGCTTTCTATGTACTATAATCAGAGTCGAATGTGATTGTGACACCCATGCATTTTGGTATGATGGAATCTTCTCCATCGTCGGCATATTCGCCTGAATTGACTTCCGATCCACCATCACCGAATGTCACACGTTGCATTAGTCGAGCACAAATAGCCTTTACTTCAAATCGAGCTCAATCTTGACCAATACACTGATGATGACCACCACCACCAAATGGAATCGATACTGCTTTGTTATTATTGACATCGTTACCTGCCACTAGAAATCGTTCAGGATCAACTGGTCCTTGCCAATAACGTCTATCTCGTCCCATATTATGGATAGCAATGAACATAAAATCACCTTTTCTCAATTCAACTCCAGTCGATGGCAATCGATCGTCGACAGTAAGTATACGTACTGTACCGAAACCAGGTGGAACAAAGCGAAACATTTCACGAAGAACACAATCCAAATACATGAAGGAATCGAGTTGTTCGACGGAGAGTGATTGCATATTATACTGAGCCAATTCATTTTTGATTTTGTTTTGCACTTCAGGATGTGTGCTGACCAAATGAATGAACTAGGTCAATGCGGCTGTTGATGTCGAATAGCCTGCTATGAGAAATGTCAGCATCTCGTCCAATATTTCAGCACGGGAAAGTCCTATAAATTCACGAGAAAAACAGTAGAAAATCTTTTTTTTTAACAAGAGATACAGTGCTCGGATCGATTTTCAATAGAAGCTCATATACAGAATGGTTCATAAGTAGGCTGTACGATAAAAAAAAATTGAATATTTCCACTCTGTTTCAATTAAATAGGCTGATTTTTTTTATCGCTGACAGAAGATCTTCCAAAGTTTTTTCGTAAGGACAATATTAACAAAAAAAAACTACTTTGCTCTTTTACTATTGGGTTCAATAAGAAAATATGACTGATACGGATTTAGAACACTCAGTGTACAAGGCACTTCATCCGAACACAGACAATGTCAAATTTTCTTACTGAAGCCAATAGTAAGAGCACAAAGTAGTTCTTTGTTAATATTTTCCTAACAAAAAAAAAAAAAATTTGCAAGGTCACCTATCATCGATTAAAAACAACCAGCTCATTTGATTGAAACAGAGTGAAGATATTCTCTTTTTTTTTATTGTACAGCTACTTATGAACTATCCTGCACAAATTCCTCAGTTGATGTTTGACATGAAACTTAGAAAGATATAAGAACTTATATTTGTATTAGCAAGTACAAGTACTGAACTTTTACTTGCTGTACTTGTACTCGTCCTATCTCTGAGTTTTGGAAAAAGAGGACTTCTGAATGATGTACTAGACTCATCCTTTTTGTCTTCTTCAGCCTTTGACGCTTCAAGTTTTTCATCTTGTTGTAACGAAGCGATTAATGATGCAATCAAACTTAGTTTCTTACGTTCAGCTCTCACCATCGGTGACTCTTGCAACTCTTGTTCGATTATACGATATAAGTGCTGATCAACAAGGTTACGTGATCGTCGATATTTTAGATTAAGTAACAAGTAGAGACGACCGATGGGTGCCGGCATTTTTACTACTTTCATGATCGCGCGTAGAACCGTGTACAATGCATGAGTAAATTCATTTATGTCCTTGTCTCCTTGATCATTCATTGTTTGAAGAGAATAGTCAAAGAAAATAAGACTAAATATTTCAAGAACTAATTGCTGCAGTTAGTCAATCATATTTAAATGAATGTGATTTGGGTCGTTGTTCGTTTGCCAACGAGTCAACAATTTATTATTGTATCCAAATGGTTGACAATTTTACCACGACGAAATAATAAATGGGTAATAGCTGCATGACGCTTATATTTGGATCCTAAATAGAACTGGTTTTTTTTTGTATGTCATAACTTCAAACAGATGACTGCTTCTTATCTAATCTGTGAGACAAAAGATTGAATTGAGCAGGATAAATTTTATTTTCTGATCAAATATTACTGATGGATCGTACTCATGTCGATGAGAAAAAATGTGTTGTACATCTTCGAGATTACACTCACAACAATCATACGAGTTGGAGCAAACCAAAATTGAAAGATATCGCCGAATTTATCTTAAAACTGTCGTAGTACATTAGGCAGCGGTTCGCCTCGCCCGATAACTCCAGTTTGTAGTAAATTACCGAAGAGAAATTATGGTGCTACACCAGGTAATGGTCCACATAAGGTGAAGTAGGTACGTTTGAGATAAACATATACGATTATTAGAAATAGCAGAACAAAAATGATCGGCAGTAGTAACATGATTCTTCTGTCATTGTTTTATAAAGCACGTATGTGTCTGAAATCGAACATAAATATTTGAGAGAGAAGTTTTTCAGACAATTTTGTTTGTTCATTTTTGACCCGCTAGAAAGTATTTTCGATGAATTAGGGTCAGAATTTTGTGCTCTTTTGGAATATGGCCTTAGGAATATTTATCTCGATTTTTATCAGCTTCTAGATCAGAAAGCAATCCTATAAAATACATTATTTGAATTTTTTTGATTTTTTGACAAGACACCTTGGTTTTCTTTTTTCCTAAGTACTCATTTCTAAAAAAAAATCGACAATCATTTTATGTTGAAAGTAGCTCTTAAGAAAAAAAATACTTGAGTAAAAGCTACAGTTTAATTCAATATTACATTTTGTAGAGAAGTGTTCGCTCTACAAAAAGATCGACTTCGATAATTTTTAGTATGTTCTGTAAGACTCTCGTGTGAGAAAACTGTGATTCTAGCCTGACACTATCGGTTATAAATAGATGATCAGTATATTTAATCCCAATCTACAACGGGAACGAGAAATCTTACGTAAATAAAGTAAATAATCATGCCGACTTTGGTTATGTTAATAATGAGATGAGTGAGTGGAGAATATATATATGGGTTTATTAATATGAATATTATAATGAAGAAAAATATGAAAGGAGAAAAACAAAAAGAAGGGTAATCACTGAAATGTCCAGCGAAAAATTTCTAAACGTGTTGTTTTCTTAAAAACGAAACGTTCCAACAAAAATTAATATGCGTTAGAACGTCCCACATTTTTCACTGAGTAGTCTTTAGACATCATATCATCACTAGAAAATTTAATACCGAACTAAGAACGGTGATTAGTCGAAAAGTTAAGACACCAATCAACTATAAATTGGATTTCTGTGAACCAATTGAACTAAACAGAGCAACAAATCATTCTCGATTCTGATTGATGTATTAACTTATAAGTGAAGACGCACGTCATTCTAATACCAAGTTAATACCGTATTATTTTTCTAGTATAGACGACAAGACCAAACATGTTATCCACTAAGACGGTAGACAATAGTGGATAAGTGAAAAGTTAGCAGTAATATAGCGACCTCTGTTGACACTAACATATTCGAAAAAGGACTCATAGGATAAACAAAAACCTATTGACTCATCCTTAAAAATAATTTTACAGATCTTTCAAAAAAAATATTTCTAAATTCATATTCAAAATCTGATCGCGCCTTATAGTTGTTAGTTCGTCTGAAATGTTTTCCAGCAAATCTAAACTGAACACACATATTGTATAAAAACTATTCGCGATCACTCACATTATTCTAAAACTTTATTTCATTTCATAGTAAAATATTAGATATCTCGAATATCTTTCAATATAGAATACTTTTTTTCAAAGTTTCGATTAAGAGAAGTATTTATTTTATATTGTTGATTGAAATATTCACATTGTTAATATAAATCAAAATAAAAAAATGAACAAATTTATTATGTTCAAACGAAAGAAAAACAAAGATACAAATAAATTGTATCGTCAATTAGAAAAAAAAAAAAAGAAAACCTGAACATAATGTTATCACAATGCAAATGATTTAAAAAGGAAAAAAAAAGAACTATACAAAAAGAAGAAAAAATAATAATAAATTCATCGAATTTCTAGTACTGCTGTTGAAGATTCAATATGACAATTAAATATATGTTTATATGCTCGATTGAGCCAATATTGATCATATCGATAACTATCAATAACACTTGTTTCATCGAATTTTTCATCATTAGTATTATTACCTGCTTTTAAAACAAACCAACCACGTACAACTAAACGTATACGTTCTAATAATGGTAATTGTTGTAAAAGTAATGTCCAAAATGTTGAGCGTATATAATCAGTACTATAAACGAGAGTTTCTATGGAACAACGTCTTACGGAAGGTACAGAATTTAATAAACGATCAAGAGTTGATACATCAAATGGACGAAAACATAAACGAAGACATGTTATTTGAGTAAATGCATTAAATGCTGTTGAAGAAGATATATTTTCTGTTGTTAATTTTGATAAACTATTACGAGAATCAAGTGTAACAGAAAGTGAACGAAGTCGTGGACAATTTGGTAAAAGAGAAAAAAGACGATCAGCATTAATAAAATCCAAAGAAAGAACTTCGGTATTACATGATGAAATTGTTTCAGTTTCATGCCATTGAAGTTTCTAATAAATTAAATAAATATGTCAATTTTCTTCTATGAAATGAACATTATCAAATGAAATATAAGGAAAAAAAACAACATCTTATCTAATATTTAACAGTATCTATTGTATCCTACGAGGATTGTGTTGAAAATATTAAGCCTTATGACGAATATGTGAATCTCCTAACACAATCATCTGGAGCTCACGCAACCTTCCGACAGTTAAGCACACTATATTTGATGAGATCCTTCATCCCTTGCATATACTCTAGTGAAGACTAGTGGACTATGCTGATAGTATCTATTGATTACGCTCAACTATGATTTATATGAATAGATCACTCAGAAATGCATGTGAACGTTTGTTGATTACCTGAGGTTCGTCTGAATACTAATAAGATTTAATATAATGTTATGCATTCAAAACAAGTAATCGAACTATGCCCTTTTAGGTATGTGTTGCAAAATACTTAGTACAATACAATGATAAAATCAGTCAATCATACATAGCTGTCCTTCTTATGAATGGAACAGTTCAAATTCTATGTGAAGACTGAATAGTGATGCATGATTTCAAATGCTTCGAAAATCGAAGAGGATAAGACTATGAAAAAATACTAGATAAATATACTTCAAATTAATTTCCTTTTTATTTGATTTTTATCATTTGATATCCGCATGAAAATCTTAGGTGAACAACAAATAGTAGTCCTAAAGGTGATCATATTAAGATTAATTTTTACTAAAAGCAAAAATACAAAAATTTCATCCTAGAATATTTCAACAGCAGAGTACCATACGGTACTAAACTTCTATGCCATTCGTTGACATAGATTATTTTTATTAATCTAACAAGGGAACCTTCCGAGGTGCTAAAAAGCTTTTGAGCTCAAATTTTGTCCATAAGTAGGGGATATATAGACTAGAAAAAACCTAAGATGATATCAGCCCAAGTTGGAATTTGGCTGAGATATCAGCTTTTTACTAGAATTTTCCTATAGGACCCCATTTTCCCGATAAGATGAAAGTTTCGAGTTTTGAAGTGAAATTTTGCCCATATCAAGGTCTCGATTAGAGTGGCTTATTTACAAAATTTCAAAGTTTTTAGACTAAGCATTACCGAGATATAATATTTTCAAAATATCTATGCATAAAAGGATATCCGTAAAAAGCGTGTTCATGATAGCAGGCTCATATTTCGGTAATGCTTAGTCTAAAAACTTTGAAACTTTGTAGATAAGCCACTCTAGTTGACATCTTGATATGGGCAATATTTCACTTCAAAACTCGAAACTTTCATCTTATCGGGAAAATAGGGTCCTATAGGAAAATTCTCGTAAAAAGCTGATATCTCAGCCAAATCGCAACTTGAGCTGATATCATCTTAGGTTTTTTCTAGTCTATATATCCCCTACTTATGAATAAAATTTGGACTCAAAAGCTTTTTAGCACCTCGGAAGGTTCTCTCGTAAGACTATCTTTCATTAAGTAGATCAATCTTGATTATTCAAGCTGTTCCTAAAAGTATCGAATTTATTTCCTATTAATTCTTATGGTAAAAAAAAACAAACAAACTTTTATTGTTCTCTTAAACGTTACTTTTTATTCAAAGCTAACTAAGCACTCAAACCATTCTTTCATTTTATATATATTATATTTACTTCATGAAAAGAAAGTATTGAAACTCGAATATTCGATTGATTAAGTAATGCATATGTAACATTTGATAATTCTTTATCACGAAAAATTTCATGTGTATTTATATGAAAATAATTTAAAAATGGTAATTGTTTAATTTGTTTAGCTATTTCTAATAATTCATCATGATTAATATCAATTAATGTTAATGAATGTAATGATTGAAATATATTAAAATTTGTTTGTAAAAGAAATAAACGAATTTGTGGATAACGATTATAATGATTTGATAATATTAATGTAAATATATTACTAAAATTAATATTTATTAATGATAAACAAAATTGATTGAAATTTAATTTCTCAATTTTTGATATATCAGCTGCTAATCGAAGACGTGAATCAAATACAAGTGAATTTAATCTTGAATTCATATTAAAAAATATTTTCCAAACATCTTCAACATTCATATATTCAAATATGGCCATTAAAATTTCACCTGAGAGATCTTCAAAACAAGACATCTAAAATAATTTTAAAGTAATAAGAAAAAAAAAAATAATAATAATAACCTTCGTTAATAGATTCATCATCTTCTTGTCTATTAAATTTCTTCTCGATTAAAAAAAAAGAAAAGAGAATATTTTTAATCCTCATGTTTTGAGTTTACTTCAACAAATGATCATTTCTTATTTACATAAACAAGTGTTCATAATGAACATGACAAAAAAAAAATCACAAAAGAACAAAAATGACATAATGAAACCAATAATAAGCACCGGGAGTTATGGTTGATCAACATTAGTTGCTATTGTAGTAAGTTTGACACGTTTTTGTTGTCGTTGTTGATATAAATTCATTGCTACACGTCCATTCATAGTTGACTGTAATGGTTGATCATCTTCATCACTATCAGCATGTTCCATTTTTCGACCTGATTGACTACTATTTGTATCGAGATCACGAATTACTTCACCTTGAACACTTACACGTACAGGTTCAAAGGCTAAAAAAAAAAAAGAAACAATCAATCTATCTATCATATCATTGTCATGAAAGAGAATATTTTCGAATTATCCACATTGGTTTAGTATTGATATATCTTTATTTTATTTCTAAGTATTTGAGATAGATGTTTGATAATTCTATTAGTCCTCTTTTTTTTGCGAAGCTACTAAACACTATTGAATTTAGTAATTTTTGTAGAGTGAACATTGCTATTGAAAATTTCGTATTGAACTGAGTTATTGCTTTTATTCAAATAAAACTATAAAGCAGTTTTATTTTGTATGCATGTGGCGACAGAGATGGAACCGGTACTGGTGTAGATTTTAGACTGACCGATCTGTCGGATGTGGGTGATATAATTTCTCTTTTAATATGTAAGTGAAAATATTTATATCTATTGAATGAAGACATATCAATTCAAATCTTCTGAACAAAAGTTTCAATATTTAGTTTTAGATTTCAATAGTAAAACTACAAATAATATCAGTAGATGACATTATATCATTGATAATGTTTAAGATAATTATACTTTATCTTCTTCTTCTTTTATGTAATCTATAGTTATTATTCCTCATTACATATATATTCTTAATAAACAAACTGATGAATTTATATACTGATCGTGCATTTTCATATTACGAATAGTCAAATTATCTGTAGGAAGTTATTTATGCGTGAGTTCTCTAATAGAGATTCTAATAATTATCTTTCGATTTACATACAACGTGTGGACAGGAGGTAGAGTTTATCGGTTTGAAAAAAAAAACTTAGAACCGGAACCATTAATTCATCAGATAGATACAAAAATTCTTAAATCTATATCGATTAGATATTGAAATATGTGATATCTTTAATTTCAACAATTCAATAGTGAAAATTTCTCGAAATATATCTCAAACTTTCGTATCTATCTGATCATTTAACGGTTTCAGTTCCATGTGAAACTGTCTAACTCTAACAAGAGCAGTTTGGATAATAAAATTCTAAGTCTAATCGATAGTAGTATTGCACTCGTTTATAGTACTTCAGACATACCAAAAGTTCTGACCACGGTGCTTAAAGAATCTTTTCGGGTAAGAGAACCAACTGAGAAAATGAAAAACGAAATATCCGATGTTGTAGAGCTTTTTGAAATGCGTCGAATGATATATAGTAAATCCTGTTTTCATAGGACTTTAAAAGAACTAGAGTCAATTTACTGATAGACGACTACACATCCACACTCAAGCATAATAAGTTTGTGAAAATATTTTTTCTCACATACGATTTTCTAGAGTTTTTAACGAGCTACAACCTCCTATATGTAGCATTTCCGATCATCTTGCTAGTATCAGTATGGGTGGGTGCATTCAAAGTCCTATGAAAACATGATTTACTATATATCATTAGACATGCCTCAAAAAGCTCTACAACATCGAATATTTGGTTTTCCATTTCTCAATTGGTTTTCTTGTCCGAAAAGATCTTTTAAACATTATGACCAGAACTTTTGGTATGTTCTAAATACTTTCCCGTAGGTAACATACAAGATCTTATCATTGTATACACATTCTGTCATGAATATTTGAGCTTATTTTATATATATATATACTAATTATTTTCGATTAACTTCTTTTCATTATCATAACTTACTATCTGGAATAACAATACGAGCAACACGATCCATTAATTCATCAATAATAACAAATGGACCCTATTATAATATAAACAATACAAAAATCAATTAATATATTTAATTTATTAAATATACTTCAAAATTTCTTGGTGGTGGAAGAACTTTAACAAGATAAAGTGCTGTATCTGGTAATGGAAAAACTCCACCAGGTGTTGGATGACTACCTGGTAATGGATTTCTTGTTGGTCGAAATGGCATTAAATGTTTAATATCTGGTCGAGGTAAAAGTGCACGTCGATCACGTGCAACTTGTTCTAATATAGCTGTACCATTTATAATTGGACTAGTAGATGATAATAATGATGATGAAGTTCTTGAAAGTGTATCTTTATAACCTAATAATTTAAGTTCATCATTTGAACATGGTAATAAATTAAGAAATTTATATCTATCAATAAGTAATAATGTTTCACGATTGTCTAATTCATTTAAATCTAAATAAATATTTAAACGACGTTTTTCAACTTTTTTTATTGATTGTAAATCTCCAACTTGTGATTCAAATTTAAGAAATTCATTCCATATAGGTAATTGTGATTGTTTTAATATTAAATTATCTGATGATAAAACACGTTCAAATAAAACACGTGCATTATGATCTTCATTTAAATGTGTCATATAATCAATATAAGCTAATATATAATCAACATTTTGACCATATTTTTTTAAACCAAGATTAAATATATTAAATGCAATATTATTATCTTTTGTACAATAATATTCCATTAATGCAGCAGCAACATATATTTGATGATTTATACGTAAATCTTCACGTGCACGTTTAAATATAGCACGTGCTGATTTTATACCATCAGTACGTCGTTCAAAACGCATTGCTTGTATATAAGCTAATGTTGGATCTTTTAAATTAGCTTCATTTATATCAAGTAAACGATTATAAATTGCACGAGCTTTATCTATATTTAAACGATATTCTTCAAAATCAGCATAAGCAAAATGTATAAGCATATTTGAACGCATATATGTTTGAATTGCACGTTCATATAAAGTTGATGCTTCATCAAGAAAACGTTTTGTTAAATGTGCATCACCTCGTTCAGAATATGTACGAGATGTTTGTTCTAAATAAGCACATGCTTCATACCTGAATAAGAAAAAAAAAAAAAAAAAAACAAAGAAAATATTTTAGTTTCATTTTCGAATGACTTGTTTTTTTTTTTTTCGTATCTATTGAGGTTGTACGTAGCATGTGAACAATATCTATTTAGATAAAAATCATAAGAAAATATGTTTGATTGAAACTTTTACTGTTAGGAAATTGTGAGTCCACATTTTTGTGGGGTCGGACCCGACTGGGTTCAGACTTGAGGTTTTTCCATCAATACTTGGCACTCTTCGTGTACATGTACAAATGAAGGATCGAAGGTTTCAGCTATTTATTCGCTACTTTTAGAAAAAGCTTAACATACAGTTATACCTTTTCTTATTTGGGAAGTAGCGGGTACACAAAAATGTGTAACCGAACCCAACAAAAAAAAAATAAAAGGTTGAACCCGTAGCTCCCTATTTGCTGTTCGATATTCATTTGATAAGTTATGGATGTTTTACTTGGTTTTTGCATAGTATCGTTGAGAACTTGAATTTCGAGCTGAAACTTTGTCTATAGCTAAGTCTTATAGTCAGTAAAAATATAGTACAATTTGAACTAACGAGGGAGGGTCACCAACTGATCAATCGCTTTTGAGTCAGAACTATGTGCATCATATAGGTCCTAATGAGCTATGAATGCCCTGAAAAGAGTTCGGGCCGCTAGCTTATTATTGTCGAAATACTGCATGTTTGTGGTATTTTTAATTAAGCACAATGCCGTAGTTCCCCTCAGGAACCGGAAAAACTGAGTTTCGAGTTTTGACTTGAAACTTTGCACAGAAACAGGCCTCAGTGAGAGTAGTTTATTGTGAAAGTTTCAGGTCTTTTGGATGTTCCTATCCTAAGATACGGCTATAAAGGGTGTTTTTACACTGCTCGTATACTCCCGACAGGTTCTGATGTTCTTATTTCAGAATAGGAACAACCAAAAGATCTGAAACTTTTACAATAAATTACTCTCATTGAGGTCTGTTTCTGTGCCAAATTTCAAGTCGAAATTCAAAACTCAGTTTTACTGGTGTTGCTGAGGGAGACCACGGCATTCTGCTTAACAATATCGTAAAAATGCAGTATCTCGACAGTAATAAGCTAGCGGCCCGAACTCTTTTCAGGGTATTCATAGGTCATTAGGACCTATATGATGCACATAGTTCCGATTCAAAAGCGATTGATCAGTTGGTAACCCTCCCTCGTAAGATAAACATATTCGTATCCGACATATGAGCTTATCATAGGAAATGTCCTTCTTTTGAAATGCTGCCCCAAACAGGTGTTTCTAGTACCTATAACGACTAGTCATGGATAAAATTTCAGCTCAAAATTCAAGTTTTCAATGATTCCAAACCAAAAACAGACTTTTTTTCTTGTTTATAATGAGCGATCGAAGAACAACAGTTTTAAGAGACAATCAATTCAACAGTTGGAAATAATCCTTTGTTAGCTATATTTACAGATGATATATTTTAGTACTTACAACTAGCAGCAGATTAAGCAGTTTCTCTCACTTAAATATACTAGACTTAAAAATATTCATTCCTTGAAATAACGATTTCAAGTATTTTTTCGATCAATCATTATGAAACTTAAAAATTTGCATTGAATTCAATAATCGTAAAAACTCTCGCTACTAGATAAAAAGTATCTAAACTTTAGTTAGATCATGAGAACTAGTCGACCTTCATAAGAAACAGCTTGAAATTTAACATAGAAAATAAATCTCATAATATAATACATACCAAAGATCAGCATGATATCCAAGACAAAGAAGACATTGTTCATAAGTAAGAATAACTCGACGTGTAACAAGTAAAATATCTTCAGTTTTTAATGGATTTGAACGTTCCCATGAAATAAATTTTCTCCATGCTGCTAATTGTTTTATTTCATCAGTTGATTGTGGTGATGTTGGTGGCATACATGGATTATTTCGATCAATAGCACGTGTTAATGTTTCTAATTCTTTTGTAACTCGTTTAACATTAAGAAAATCTCTTGAACGACTTTCAATCATATTTTTACCTAATGCTGGATTTATACTCTAAAATAATAAAAATATATATTAAATTTTTTATTTCATTAATTTATATAAACTGACCATTTCATATGAACAATAATCTTTCCATAATAATTCTACACTAATCATTGGTATCATAATACCTTTATGATAGACTTTTCGTACAGCAGCAATTTTTTGATTTTCAGCATATGAACCAACGGCCTCTCTTTGAATATAATAGATTTATATAAATGTAAATTTTAATTTTATACTTACACAGATTTAAGAAAAGTAACATAATCATTCCAAATAGTATATGCATATACATCCATTCCAATTTTTTCCAAAGCAAAATCGTATGCTTGAGCCATTTTTTCTCTGAATAAAATTTAAAACAAAAAAATACAAATCTTATTCTTAATTAAAAATTTCTACTAAGAAAAAAATAACGAAAGAATATTCAATTTATGATTTTTCTCAATAAGAAAGTAGATTAATAATCTACATACTGTGACAAGTATCATTGTGTCCATTTTGAGAATGAGCATGTATAAATGTGCAGGACAATATCAATGATAAAATAGATATATATATATATATATAAATATATATGAATCATGATCGAAATATCATGAAAAATAATTAAAGATAAAACAAAGAAATGTTTATTTTGTTGTTTTCTTTTTCTTTTATTTTTAAAGAATGAATAACAAATGCAAGGTATGAAAAACAAAACACGTTTATTACTATTATCTCGATTAATATTATCTATACTCGATTTATTTAAAATAAAAATTAAATAAATCAATAAAAGAAAAAAATCATCCAACCTGAACGACGGTAATATGCCCTTGGTATCACGAACATAATTTAAATAACATTTCCATAAATCAATATTCAATACTTTAATTAAACATCGTTGAAAAAGCTAAATAAAAATATACAATTAGATAATTAGACAAGATCAATCTAACGATTCAACTGTTTGAAACAACAGGCTCAATGTAGGAAGGTACAGATCCATATTTTTGTGGACTCGGACACGGTTGGATCGAGACCCGACTTTCTTTCACCAATATTTGACACTCTCTGTATACATGAATAAGTTAACCCTTTACCCCCCCATAGAGGTTCCAGAAGAGCTATTGATGAAATAGCCATTGGAATAGAGTATTGGTGCCTCCAATATGCTAAAAGTACGGTCAGATCGATCAAACGCACATTTGAGTTTTAGAGTATTTTGTTGAGGGGGAGTAGAGGGATCGATTTGAAAAAAATTTCCTGAACTTTCCATAATATCGACGGAGTTCGGTCAAAAAACGTCGTAGAGAGCTCGTGGACGTCTTATTTTGTAGAGAATTGTTCACTCTATAATTTTACGTAGTTTAAACAAAACTTTATTTTCGGATTGTAGACAGCCAAAAGCTAAGGGTTGATTTTCTGGAAGTCCTTCAGTGACCATTCGATGGTTTACCACATCTTGCCTATCTAATGCTTTTCAAATTTTTGAAACTTATATAATCTACTAGTGGACACTTTCTTTGATGTAAATCGCGCAACACGTCGCCAAGATATATATTGCCTAGAGGTAGAAAAAGAATTTTACCAAAAAAATTCCATTTTTTCCTTTTTTTGAAAATCATCGATTTTATAAGTTGTATATCTCGGCACTAGCACAGCGAAAAAAATCTTTTTTTTACTAGTCGATAGTTCATGAAGTTTACTACAAATAGTGCTCTTAGAGGTTTTGAATTCTATGCTTCCTTTATTTTCTGCAATCGTTCTACAAATGGTCATTCCAGTGACCAAGGGGGGGGGGGGTAAAGGATTAAGGTTTTATCTATTTATTGGCTACTCTCAGAAAAAAGTCAATGTACAATTATTTCTTGTTGCTCACTTCCTCATTACTCGATGCTTAATAAATTAAAAGCTTTTGCTTAGTTATGTTAACCAAAAAAGGAATTGAAGAATTAATTTATAAATGAAATTCGCCATTGAAAAGGGTCAAACTAACAAAATCTTTAGCTGTATAGAATAGTAAAACTGTAGATCGACTTTTTTGTAGACTCGCAACTCTATAACTCAATTTTATCTATTGAAATACATACCTTTTCAACTTTTTCATAATTTCGTCCTTTTATCTAAAATAAGATTTTTATAATAATTTATTTTGTAAATTTTTAAATATATATATACTTCAGATTCAACATAAATCTTCCAAAATTTACCACATGTTGGAAATTGTGTAACCAATGATTCGTAGAATTCTCTTGATTCAGCTATTTTTTTATCCTTAAATTTAAATATAAAAATTATTCTTCTATTAAAAATTATATTTCAAAAACAAACTTGTGCATCTTGTATGAGTATAGCCCATGCATCAAGTGAATGTTTATTTTCATTAAGAATTCGTCGTGCTTGTTGAATTTTTTCATTACGTGTTAAATCCTAATTCAAAAAATAAATAAATAAATGTTTAAAATATATTATATTTTTGATTACCTCTCGCATATAAACACTCATTTTATATAACAAAAAATCTAAAATGATTAAGAAATAAATAGAAAATTAATTTCTTTTTTTTTTTATTGCTTAGCAAATAAATCAGGAGAAAAAAAAATAATTTTTGAGATGTCTTAATTAAGCATTGAACGACGAACAGAAAGTAAAGCTTGAAGTAGAAAATAACCAATAACACATGTATAAAAAATTCGATCACGATACTGTCGTCTAGCTAATGTTTGTTCAATATGACGAGCACGATTTTGAAGTAATTGAAGTTTATTTAAAACATTTTTATCATCAATACTATTATATGGTTCAATATGCCATCTAAAACAAAAAAAATTTAATTTGAATTTATTTATCTATTCATATTTACGATTGTGTGAGTTGAATTGGTTGATTTTCTTTTTGAATATTTACCAATTTATCTTCATCATCACTTACAGTTTCAATATCTGTTGGATGAAGTGTTGATGGAAGTGATGGTTGTTGAATAAAAGAATTTGATAATTGATTTGATTCATCATTCATAAAAAAATCCGTTTCATTCAATGCTATCATACTTCCATTACCACCTAGATAAAAAAACAAACAATTAAATTAAGAAGAAAATACACGGTTGGAAAAAATATTATTCCAGGGGGGTAACGCTATAATTTCAAATAGAAGACATAATGAATTTTATATCAAATGAAAGCTCGTCAAAAATGGGGTTTATTGATACTAAATAGTGAGGCTTGTAAAAATTTTTTAATGTCAAACTTAAGAAGTTTTCAGAAATTTTATATTTTTTTGGGGTGGAAAATCAAGGTGCCACTGATTCAAAAATGAAGTCAATTTTTTTTCTTGAATATTTTTACACGGTTTGATAGACCTCGTTGAGCTCTACAAAACTGTGCATGTTAAAAATTTTTTGAGGCATCTTTTTGAGATAAAAAGTTCAAAAAAACTACTCGGGAAACCTCAAAAACATTTAAAAACTCTTTTTTTTCAAATTGAAGAAACACGCTCAATTTTTCAATAAAAGTAGCTTTTTTCGTTGTTTTTACTACCTCAGACGTCTCGAAATATACTCGTTCGATGCAGTGTGAAAAGCTGCGTCTAATGAGTATGTTTCGAAATGCCTGACGGAGTAAAAACAATGAAAAAAGCTACTTTTATTGAAAAAGTAAGTGTTGTTCTTCCACATGAAAAATATGAATTTTTTTCAT